AGAAGCAGAATGGGGTAATGGAAAGAGCATTGGTCTGGAGTCAGGACACCTGGCTTCCAGTACGTGCTGCACATGTCTCACTGATGGGCATCACACAACATCCCTTCTGTTCTCTGGACCTCAGTTTCCTTATTTGTTAAGAAAGCAATCTGACTCAAAATTTCTGAAGACTTATTTGATTTGGACAAACTGGCATCAAGACCCATGACAATGCAAAAGACTTTTTCCTCCGGTAATTAAAATGGTGACTTGAGCCCTTAGATGCAATTTGTGGCTTACTCTTAAAATTCACATAAATGTATTAACATCCAAGTGCAGGAGTTCCATAACTGCCATGTTATGAACACAAACAATATACTCTCTGAGATGAATGAAATAAGATTTTATTACTCAGTCCCTAATTGCTACACATTTTGTTTCTTAAAAGACATTTTGGGAAGTCAACTCAGCTCAAAAGAAAATCTCCCTTCGATGAAAGCTTTCTCATCCCCAACATTCATAAGGAAGATTCCTCTGGCATTCCATGTTTTTACCAATAACCAGAACTTCCTGACCACTTCCTGGTCCAGGGGTGAACCCCCAACTTTAATGTCAATCAGATCATCTCTTCTTGGAATAGGACTTAGATCATGTGCCAATATGTAAGCCAATCAGGTGGATGGAGTGGGAGGGAAAGCACTCTGATAGGCTTTGCTGACAAGCCCACCACTCCGAGGCTATGGTGGCAAGGAAGCCAAAGGCAACATTGCCAAGCCACCCAATCTAAGCAAGAGTATTACGGAGTTGGAGGGGTGGGGGTTACTCAAAAGAGAAATCTAAAATCAGGGGTGGGCAGCAAGGCAAAAATTGATGACTATTCTATGTCTTTTTATAACAGACCCAGAGCCAGAGGGGAATGACCTCAGATCAATTCTTATGACTTCCACTGCTATCTTAGATGTGAATTTTAATTCTTAATTTGGCATATTACCTTGTTAATCAATCACTGAACTCAATCAATCAATACACCATATGTGCATATGTGTATGTGCATGAGTGTGTGTGCACGTGAGTATGTATACGTGTGTGGGGGTGTGTGGGGGTGGGTGTGTCTGTAATGCAGACACAGAGCATCATCTCCAAACTCTGATCCTGTGGGTCTAGAACAGGGCCAAGGAAACAATTTTACTAAAGGTTTCCTTCCACTCCAGGTGATTTTGACACCTAACTATAGTTTGGAATACATCGCTGATGATCGTCGGGATCTGTTGAAGGTACCCTTTTAGGTGGGTTATTCTAATGTAGTTGTAAGGATGGATTGAGGAAGCAAGGCAGAAGCAGCAAAAAGTAGACTCCTTTTCCTAACACAGGAGTTGATGGGCCAGGCCAGACCAAACCAATACAGCACAGTTAAAGAATATACAATTAAGAGCTCTCTAAGATCTCATGCACACATGAGGAGACTGTGATGATTCTGGCCTGGCCAGCTGGGCAGTGATGCTCTGCCATCAATGAAAAAGCAATTGGTGAAAGAGGAGATGCTGCCACCATCCCCCCAGCAGCATCCTATGATCCAGCCTTGTTTTCAATAAATCTGCAGTTGTCTCTCATGCCTCTGTGCCTCAGAACATGCTGTTCCTTCCACCTTTCCTTTTTGTCTGCCTAGGGAATTCCTATATATCTGTCACACCTAAATTTTGGCACTAGACTTCTGGAAAGCTTTCTTTCATCTTCCTGCCCACTGACGCCTCCCCACAAGTGCTCCCATTTTTACTTTAGTCTAAGTATCTGCTCACCTCCTTGACATGGCTGTGAGGCCCTGAGGGGAGAATTAGCGCCCACTCATCTCAGAATCCCCACCATTCAGCAGATGGGCTGGCAGCCCCTGTTCTGAATAACCACCGATTAGTCACTGCCTGCCCACCTGAGTGCCTGCACCACACTGTGAGGGAGAGGGAGTGGAGGTCAGGGCTCTGCACAGAGACAGCCTTTCCCTACCCCACGAGCTGACTGACCATGCGGGTCTTTGCAGAAGACAGAAAGTCTCAAGGCAATAAGCCATCTCCTCAGAATGGAAGGCTGGGGGTAGGCTAGATAAATGCAGTTTTACAGGATTTCTGTTTATCTGATTGAAGCAAAGCAAAGTTTGCCACAGGATTTGGTTCTGCATTGTGAGATAGCAGCCTTTGATGGCAAATAAAAGCTACATCAAATGCGTATTTTATAACATCTGGGTACCTGGGCTTAATGTTCATGCCCTATAATTTGTGGGCTGGTCAAAGCATCCCCATGTGTTTTAGAAGAGTCTTATTTTTAAAGTATAAAATGTATAATATCTGATTTCCTTGAGAACACCTATATATGCAATGCACACATTGTTAAGAAAGACTGATAGAGAACACACACCTACCGTGTTTCAGAAAAAATGAAATTCCTAAAGAAGAGAGTTGGGGAAGGAGGGTGCATCAGGAAGTGAGGAATGACTTAATGAAATGCTGAGCTTCTTCAGCATCAGAGGCAAATGTGTCTGTATCATGGCCAAAATGATATAAAACATTTAATATCATCTCCGAGCACATCGCAAGAGCTCTGAATAGGATCCCAGAATTTCACAGCTTCTTCTCCGGAAACTCGGGAGTCTGGGGCCCAGGGAAGCCTACATGCTGTAGAGTTGGCATCTCTGCGATTCCTCCCCTTCGGGAAGAAGAAAGCTGCTGCTTCTGTCACCTGGACTATGGAAGGAGGAAGCTGCAGTGGCAGCTTTGCTTCCTGAATCCCATCCCACCTGAATCTTGGAGAAGGAATTCCAAGAGTTGTGTCAATACAGAAACTCTGCTTCCAAATCCTGGAGTTCTTACCTGTAAATGACTTTCACATCAAAGGCAAGAGAGGTCAGTTAACCCACTATTTCCCCAGCAAATGCAGATCACCTGATTATTTTCCAAGAGAAGTGTAATTATCTCAGTAATTTTAAGTGACGGAAAGAAATGGCACCCAGTTTTTCAGCCTCCTAGATATGGGGCATTTGGGAGGAATAAGAATAGCATTGGAGGAAATGGATTATGCCTGCCCAATTCTTACTATGCGAAGCCAAGTTCCGAGAGCTCTGCTGACATTAACCCATTTAGTACTTTCAACCCTCATCAGCAGTGGGCAGTGCATTGCCCCTGTCCTAAAGAGGAGGAGAGTGAGCCAGAAGAAGCCACAGCTACGACAGGGCTTGATGACTATAGGAGTCAGCCATTAAGTGTAGGAATTGTGGAGGGGAGGGTTGTCGGAAACTCAGACAGACAAGTGAAGGAGCTGGCATTCGACAGTGCAAGAGGTTCCTGAATTTCGGTGGACAACAAAATTACCAAAGGAGCTTGCATATTCATTTCCTCCACAAGACTTGGAATAAGTCACACCCATCACAAGGACTCTAGTTAAATATGCTTTGGGATAGCCCTAGAATGGAACATTAACATGGGGTGGCTCTATTCTGACAGATAGCAGTGCTCTCAATGACAGATGGGTCAGGACCAAAGGCACAATGGAGAGCAATGTGACCCGGTGCTGCCACTGGCTTGAAACAGCCAGTCAACGAAAGGCTGAACAGCAATGGGACAACTCCGGGAGGATGCATGTGAAACTGGGAGTTTCTCTGTAACAAAGGAAACTGGTGGCTGGGAGATGTGAGGGGGAGCCAGTCACGTTTTACTGTTCATCCCATTTTCATGGGTTTTGAATTTTGTACCAGGTATGTGTATTGTTTTATCAATCACTCAAGCAATCTATAGTGTGTGTGTGTGTGTGTGTGTGTGTGTGGTGTGTGTGTGTGTGGTGTGTGTGGTGTGTGTGTGTGTGTTTGTGTCTCTAATGCCAGCACCTGGCCCATCCACAAATCCTACATATGAGTGTGGGGCTGAAGGAGCAAGGACAGGAGTAAGATGGGGCATGGGCCAGGTGCTGTGAAGACATGGCTGCTCCTCGGGGCTAAAGTGGATCCCCTGGGCCAGGCACGGTGGCTCACACCTGTAACAGCACTTTGGGAGGCTGAGATGGGTGGATCACTTGAGGTCAGGAGTTCAAGACCAGCCTGGCCAATGTGGTAAAACTCTGTCTCTACAAAAAAAATACAAAAATAGGCCAGGTATGGTTGTGGGCACCTGTAGTTCCAGCTAATTGGGAGGCTGAGGCATGAGAATCACTTGAACTCAGGAGGTGGAGGTTGCAGTGAGCTAAAATTGCACAACTGAGCTCCAGCCTAGGCGACAGAATGAGACCCTGTTTCAAAAAATAATAACAATAATAAAAGTAAAGTGGATCCCCTGGACATTTTCCTGTGGAGGCTTCGAGGCCTGATGTGGCTGCATGTGCAGTAAGTATGTAATTAAGTTTAAACGAGGTCGTGAGGGTGGAGCCCTGGTCCAACAAGAGTAGTGTCCTTATAAAAAGAGACACCGCTGGGCATGATGGCTCATGCTTGTAATCCCAGGACTTTGGGAGGCCAAGGCAGGCAGATTACCTAAGGTCAGGAGTACAAGACCAATCCAGCCAATGTGGTGAAACCCCATCTCTACTAAATACATAAAAAATTAGCCAGAAGTGGTGTATGGCTCTTGCTGTATTCACAGGACTGTTAGATGTGAATGTGTTTGCAAAGGCCGAAGGGCTCTGTGAATGTCACAGTATTTTTATTTCTCTATTTGGCATTAATAAATAGTAAACACATGGAGGAGAGTACTAAGACATTTCCCTCACTGGATCCCCAAAACATAGCAGAGACTCCAGCAAAGAGCGGGTCCTCAGTAAGTGCTTGTGGCACAGAACTGGGAGCTCTATGTGTGCCTGAGTGTGTAGGCATATAATCCAATATATAGACATGGATACAGAGGGAGACAAGTACACACAAGACAGGATTCTCATGGCCAGCTCACACTTACAAGGTGAAAGTGTACCTCGCTGGCAAGCTAAGCAGCCTTAGAAGAGTCTAAGCCCCATGATGTTATGACATGGGTCAGGACATGATTCACACCCTCCAGAGCCTCAAGTAAGAGACGTAGACCCGGTCAATGGCTTCCCTCCTGGTCGGTGTCATTGTCTGAACCTGCACATACTTGTACAAAACCCATGGATGGTGCTTTGGTCACACTCGTCTCTAAATTCTAATTTGTGGGAAGGAAGACCTGTCTAAGAACCCAGTGTCTCTCAAAGCCCCCACATATCCCTTCCATTTGACTCCCTTCCTAAACTGGAGCATGCATATGAACAAAATTGAATTCTGCCCATTAATTTGAAATCATTCTGTACTGATATAACATTTCAACCCTGCCAAAACAGTTTCTATTTCTGAGTAATTCTTTATTCCAAATTCTTCCAATTGGCATTCCTTTTGAAATGCTGGGCTCCAGTCTCTGTGGAGGACTGCAGACTGCATATGTCCCCAAAACATCTTTGCTTTCTTCAGAACTTCACCAAGAACTCCTGTGGCGCCATCCCTGTTCCATTATGCTCAGCAAGTGTCATCTTCTGGATCCTTTCACTTCCAATTTGAGTCTGGTATTTATCATTTTTGTTTGGAGTTATTTTCACCACTGGGAGAAAAAAAAAAAAAAAGAAGCCTTCCTTGACCCATGCCTAGAGAGAAGCCACAAAAAATAAAACACACAGAGCAAAATCCACTATAAAAATATTCCAATTATTTCTGATCTTTTTCCACCTTTGCTTTTCTCAAAATAAGTGACTCTCCCTGCCCTCATGAACACTTGTTTTGGTGCAAGTACATTGAGTTAAGTAATATGAAATTTGTCATCCAAACCAGGATACTTTTGAGAGTTAAGTGAGATGCCATTATCAACTACAGCAGAATAACAGACATAAAATGAGACTGCTCTGGACACATCAGAAAATATGTTCACCCTGGTGTTAGCACTTCTTTAGGTAGAAGTAAGGGAAACCCAATATGAGGTAGCTTGACAAAAAAATGTATAAATTCAGTATGTTCTTGGCTCAGCATTAAGCTGGATTCAGTCACATCAATATCCCATGTCACCAAACTCATTCTATCTTGCCATCCTTCTTTCTTTTGTTTCTTACTGCTCAGCACCCTTCTCTCCTATTGGATACAGTCTTCCTTCATGTATCAGAGAAGATAACTGTTCCATGCCCCAAAAAAGAAAGCCCTCTGGGAGAATCCCTGAGATGAACATAGATTGTCCTAGCTGGCATCACCTGCTCACCCCTGGAGCACATTAATTCACTGGGGAAGAAGACACCATGATAGAGCAACTACAATGTATGTTGGTGGAGTTAAGAATTTCAAACAATACAGAAAAATAATTATGCTGTATGAACTTAATAAACTGGATTTAAAGCAATGCTTCTGAATAGTAATGAGGGAGTGAAAAAAGTTACCAACCTACATCCTACAGACTCAGAAGCCAATCTAGTCTCTTAATTTCTCCATTCTGTAGATGAAGAAACTAATGGCCAGAGAGCCTGAGTATCTTGCCCAAGATCATGCAGATAATAAATGAAGCATCAAGAAATCAGATTTAAACCCAAGACTCTCTGAGGTGGGGCATTTAGAGCTCATTCCTCTTCCCCTGCCCTGTACTGCCTTGATTGTGAGACGTAACTCTCTCTTAGTCAAGACTGACTTTGTTTTTAAGCAAGAGAAAAGTAACTCAGGATTGCTTAGGCAGAAAGGGGGATGTGTGGCTTACATAACCCAAATGTAGGGAGTCCATAAGTACAGGCATAAGGATCGGGAGGGCATCGGAAATCTTTCCTCCTGATTTTCTCCACACATTAGCTTCATAGTCTTAGAACATCTGTTTCTATGAGGCTGAAACCATGGCTACCAGCAACTCCTGGGCTCAGATCCTTCTCTCCCTTCCCTCTACTTATGTGTCCCGTGCTCAATTAGGGTTCAGATTGGCCCATTCTGAGTCATGCGTCCACAAGCAACCAATCAGATGGCCAGGGATGTGAGGAGCTATGATTGGTTCAACTCCAGTCTGGTACCTACCATTTAGCCAATCACTGTGGCTAGAGTTACAGGGTGGATGAAGGAGATGGAAGGTTCTATCAAGCCAATAGGAAAATGGAAGGAACTTACAGTGTCCACTATGGCTTCTTCACAAAATTAGTCAAACTGGCTCTCAAATGAGAAATTTGGGATATAAGTGTTTTTGAATCATTTTGTTGGCATACAACCATATATGCACATGTTTTTTCTGAATGTGTTTTTGCACAAACTCTGAATTTTTACTTAAGTGCAGTTAACTTATCTTCATGTATCTCAAGGCAAATTGTCTGTTAAGCCAGTATTTAAGGATGGCATCAGCTGTAGCCTTAGCTTTTGCCATACATCCTAAATTCTGCAAGGGCTGTAGGCCCTTTAACTCTTTTGCACAATAGAACTTTGGGTAGCATGTATAACAAGAGAAAAAAAAACCTCCTAGAGACAATGGGGCAGTATATTTGAAATTGCAGCTGCAGTGGAAACCCTGGGCCGAGCTTCAAGCAAAATGTGGTAGAATATTTCTGAAATGTAAACTGAAGATTTTTTTCCTAAAAATTCTCTCCGCAACCCCCTTTGAACAGCCAGACTTGTCTTTCGTTTGTTGCCTCAGAGATAGAGAACATCGAGGCAGGAATAAAATAGGCTACTTGTATTTCCCTGGCTTTTGTCTTCCAAAAGCCTAGATCCTTAGGGAGACAGTGAGATAGACAAAAGCATAAAGGGTTGAAGAAGGTACGACTTTCCCTCTCTTGTCTCCTGACCTCAGCCTAAGGGGAGAAGGAAGGAAGGAAGATACAAGGGAAATATAAAGATGTGGACACTGCTTTTATTTAGTGCAAACAGTACCTTGACAACGTGATTAAGGTCAGCAACATCAGTGATGCCATGTAGGTACTATGCACCCCATGCTCTGATGCTCTGATGGGATAAAAAGGGCACTTAACCTTTGTGATCTCCTCTCCAAAAATCCATAGGCCCAGTCTAATCATGAGAAAACTTCACACAAACCATGACTGAGGTGCATTCTACAACATGCCTGATGAGTACTCCTCAAAGATGTCAAGGTCATGAAAAATAAGGGAACTGAGAGACTGAGGAAACTGAAAGACATGATAACCAATGGCAATGGAGTAACGTGGATTGAATGATGAACTGACAAAGACATTAAAGAAAAACTTGGTGAAATACAAGTAAAGCCTAGAGTTTTGGTAATAGTAACTCATCAATGTTAGTGTCTGTCTTCTGAAAAATGTACTAGAGAAATTTAACATTAAGGGAAGTGAAACTTGGCAAAGCATATATGGGAATTCTCCATCTTACCTTTGCAACTTTTCTGTAAATCTAAAATTATTCCAGAATAAAATGTTTGTTAAAGACAAATAAAAACAAGAAAGGGCACTATGCCTCCAACTCCCACCTAGGTTCATGGAATCTGAAAATAAAGACAAGTTGGGACAGTTCTCTATGTATAGCTCCAGGGAAATGTGGAACTCCAGAGAATAAATGGCTTCATGAAATATCTAAGCCTTTACTGAGGGCCCTGGTCAGCCTCACCAACTCTCTGCCCTCAGCCTGACCACAGAAAGATTCCCCTGACACTGAGTGGACAAGAGGTAGAACCCATCCATGGAACCAAGTAAGATGCAAGGAGAATATCCAAACCTGAGAAAAAACAGAGGCTGGAAGGAAGACAGACTCTCTACATTGGCTGAAATTGAATTGCAAAAATAGAAATTAACTTTATCCATAGGAGGAAATATATATATATATACCTGTATTCTACTCCCATGTGAGTTTGTAGATTAAGCTTTGTATTTTCTGTAAAAAGAAGATGGAGGAAGAAGAGGAAGGCACAAAAGAAATGATCGCTTAGTCTATGCTGGGATAGGTCAGCTCTATGTGCATGTATTGGTTTTCTATGGCTGTGTAACAAGTGGCCACAAACATAGGGGCTTACAAATCCCTTTATCATCTCACAGCTTCAGTAGGCCAAGAGTTCAGGCACAGTGCGGCTAAGCTCTGTGCTCAGAATATCACATGCTGAAATCAAGATGTCAGTGTTCTGTTTGCATAAATATTATCTTTGTTTATTGGCAACTATATTAGTCTATTTTCATGCAGCTGATAAAGACATACTCAATAATGTGAAGAAAAAGAGATTTAATTTGACATACAGTTACACATGGCTGGGGATGCCTCAGAATCATGGCAGGGGGTGAAAGGCACTTCTTACATAGTGGCAAGAGAAAGAGAGAGAAGCAAAAGCAGAAACCCCTGATAAATCCCTTAGATCTAGTGCACCTTATTCACTATAATGAGGAAAAACCGACCCTCAGGATTCAGTTACCTCCCCCAGGTCCCTCCCACAACATATGGGAATTCTTGGAGATACAATTCAAGTTGAGATTTGGGTGGGGACACAGCCAAACCATATCACTCTACCCCTGGCCCCTTCAAATCTCATGTTCTCACATTTCAAAACCACTCAGGCCTTTCCAGCAGTCCCCCAAAGTCTTAACTCATTTCAACTAAAGTCCACAGTTCAAAGTCCCATCTGAGACAAGGCAAGTCTCTTCTGCCTATGAGCCTGTAAAATCAAATGAAAGCAGGTTACTTCCTAGCTACAATGAGGGTATAGGTATTGGGTAAATATAGCCATTCGAAATGGGAGACATTGCCTAAAACAAAGGGGTTACAGGGCCCATGCAAGTCCAAAATCTAGCAGGGGAGTCAAGTTTTAAAGCCCCAAAATGATCTCCTCCAACTCCAGGTCTCACATCCAGGTCACACTGATTCAAAAGATGAGTTCCCATGGTCTTAGGCAGCTCTGCCTTTCTGACTTTGCAGGGCATAGACTCCCTTCTGGCTGCTTTCACAGGCTTGTGTTGAGTGTCTGTGGCTTTTCCAGGTGCACGGTACAAGGTGTTGGTGGATCTACCATTCTGTTGGTGGTCTGGAGGATGGTGGCCCTCTTCTCACAGCTCCACTAAGCAGTACTTTAGTAGGGACTCTGTGGGGGCTCTGACTCCACATTTCCTTTCTGCATTGACCTAGCATGAGTATACCACCCCTGCAGCAGACTTTTGCCTGTGCATCCAGGTATTTCCATACATCTGAAATCTAGGTGGGGGTTCCCAAATCTCAATTCTTGACTTCTGTGCATGCTTGAGCTCAACACCACATGGATGCTACCAAGGCTTGGGGTTTCCATCCTCTGAAGCCACAGCCCTAGCTCTACATTGGCCCCTTTCAGCCACAGGTGGAGTGGCTGGGACACAGGATACCAAGTCCCAAGGCTGCACACAGCATAAGGACCCTGGGCCCAGCCACAAAACCACTTTTTCCTCCTGGACATCTGGGCCTGTGATGAGAGGGGCTGCCATGAAAGTCTCTGACATGATCTGGAGACATTCTCCCCATAATCGTAGGGATTAATATTAGGCTCCTTGCTAGTTATGCAAATTTCTTCAGCCAGCTGGGATTTCTCTTCAAAAAATGCGTTTTTCTTTTCTACTACTGCATTGTCAGGCTGCAATTTTTCCAAACTTTTATCCTCTATTTCCCTTT